TTCCCCCCAGATGTTGCAGATGTACACACACACACACTTTCCATCTATCTTCCCCCCAGATGTTGCAGATGTACAAACACACACACACTTTCCATCTATCTTTCCCCCCCAGATGTTGCGGATGTCTGCGCCTTCCTGGCTTCGGACGAGAGCCGGTACATCACCGGGGCCAGCCTGGAAGTGACAGGTAGGACGGGGGGGGGGGGCTGCGTGGAGTGGGGGGGTTGTTAATCTTCCCTGCTCTGACCATCTCCTCTTCCTCCACCAGGGGGCCTCTTCATCTGAGCCACTGCTGCCCCCTGCTGGAGGAAAGGCCCACGAAGACACTTACTTCCAGGAAGGACTTTCAGTAGAAACTGCACTCCATGGACGGACGGACGGACGGACGATGGACCTGGAACTTGGGCGATGATTGGGGGGGGATAGAGGGGGGGCCCTGGACTTGTGTGGGAGGGAGGGGCCTTTTCCTGCCAAGGCCGGCCCTCCACACACACACACACACACCCCAGCCGAGGGGTACAACGGCTGTTCCAGGGTGCCGATAGCGAGGAGGAATTTCACATTCGTCTCTGGGTCGATCGAGCAATTAATTGTAATTAAATAAAGTTGTTTTTCCACTCCAGTGAAGGCCAATCTGAAGAAGGGGGCAGCCTGTCCCAGTTCCTTCACCAGTCTGTGGGGGGGGGGAGCCGGGGAGCCTACAAGCCACGAAAGGGCCACCCGTGGGGAGCAATTTGCACAAGGAGAGGGTGGTGGACCTCACAAGGGGGGGCGCTCTGCCCCAACTGGAAAAAGCAGCTTTTCCCAAGGGGTCCCTGGGGAGGGGGGGCGAGTCAGAGTGGGGCAGGCTGACCCCTGTTGACCGAGGGAACGGGGGGGGGGTCTCATCCACCAAAGGCCTTTCTGGGCTCTGGGGGGGGTTTCCCACAGGGATGGACGGAGGGACGCCCCCCCCCTCGCCCACCGACCCACCCCTCTTTAACGTTGCTCCCCATCGCTGCTCAAAACGAGGCTGGAGGAAGCTGCCCCCCCCGTGCACACGGCCTGCGGCCAGAATAACGGAACACCAGAGTTGGAAGGGGCCTTGGAGGTCATCTAGTCCACCCCCCTGCTCAAGCAGGAGGCCCTTACTTTCACCGTTTCAGACAAAACCTCTTCCTAAAGGCCTCCAGGGATGGAAACGCCCACGGGTTGAGGGTTCAAAACCCCGTTTTATGGCTAACCAGCCTCTCCCCCACCAAGTCATATTTCCAGAATCGTCTGGGGGGGGGGCATGGCTAGCTGGCCTGTTGCAGGCCTAGCATAGGGGCAGGACGGCCTGCCTCACCGTGGCAGCGTTCTCGGACCGGGCTCTGCAATTCGGCCTTCCTTTTGGGGGGAGGGCTCCAGGAGGCACCCCTGGTTCCTGGGAAAAATGGGGGTGCCTTTCCTGGCTCCCCTCTCTGGGGGTTCTCCCAGGGGGTCCCCCTCTGGGATCTACATTGGAAGGATTGGTGCTACTGGGGGCTCACCCCCCCCCCACCCAGAGGATCCACTGGCAATTTCTGATTTCACCCACACAGGAGGGGCTTTGCTGCACCCCCTCCTCTCCCCTTCTGGCTTGGGGGGGGGGGCTCTGGCCAGCCTGTCATCAGAGGCTTCTGTGGGCATCCTTGCCGTATTGGGGATACGCACCCCCAAACTGGCCAGTGGTCTTCCCCTCCGTGGCTGCCTGGGCCTCTGGCGGACCCCGCCGTCCGAGTCCAAAGGCTTCTGGGTCGGAGGGGGCAGGTGCCATCTGCAAGTTGGGGGTCAGCCAGCCCCCCTCCCCTCTCCTCCACCCGGGGATTACCCAGAGCTGGGCCGGGGATGCAGGCACACTAACCGGTGTTTGCGGAAAGGATTACTGGGGTGTGGGTGGAAGGACGGGGTGGGGTAGAGGATTAGCTGGGGGCTCACAGGCCCCTTCAGGACTCTTGCAAAGATTAAAGGGGGGGCGGCCTCTCTGGTCCCTTGGACAGGACCCCCCCCTCCGTCCCCAGCCTGACAGATGAAGCAGAAGCCATCAGCCTGGGAAGGGGGGGGACAGAAATGACCCCCATCTATTCTCTCAGCTCACACAGGTTGACAAGCCCAGTGGCTGCCTCCGTAGAATACGGGGATCCTAACTGCCCCCCCCCCAGGGAGCCAGAACACAACACACAACTTCCCACAATATGCCGACCCATTTCCAAGCTTCCGGAGTCCGAACAGCCTTCCTGTGCCGGACTCCAGCTTCCATCGTGCCCAGCCGATGGGGGACTGGCAGGAATGGGCTTCCATGGGGCAGGCCCGTGGGTGTGTGAGGCGCAGTGGGCTGGGCCCCGTGTTGTGGGACCTAGACCCCCTAACCCTGGCCTCACCCACTTTCTTAACGTACGTTTAGCTGGGGGAGGGGGGAGGATCCGGGGGGTGTGCAAGGCAGCTGTGCCCCCCCGCAGCTCTATCTGAAGCTGGGGGAGAAGGGGGGGTGTCATTTGGTTGAAGTGATAGCAACTTTTACTAAGAATAGAATAGAATAGAATAGAATAGAATAGAATAGAATAGAAATATAGAACAGAACAGAAATCTAGAATAGAATATAGAATAGAATAGAAAATGGAATAGAGTAGAATAGAAATCTAGAATAGAATAGAAAATGGAATAGAATAGAGTAGAATAGAATAGAGCAGAAATATAGAATAGAATAGGATAGGATAGAATAGAATAGAAATATAGAATAGAAAATGGAATAGAATGCACAACAGAATAGAATAGAAATATAGAATAGAGTAGAATAGAATAGAAAATGAAATAGAATAGAAATATAGAACAGAACAGAAATATAGAATATAGAATAGAATAGAATAAAAATATAGAATAGAAAATGGAATAGAGTAGAATAGATATCTAGAATAGAATAGAAAATGGAATAGAATAGAGTAGAAAGATAGAATAGAATAGAATAGAATAGAATAGAATAGAAATATAGAATAGAAAATGGAATAGAATGCACAATAGAATAGAATAGAAATATACAATACAATAGAATAGAATAGAATAGAAAATGAAATAGAATAGAAATATAGAACAGAAATCTAGAATAGAATAAAAATATAGAATAGAATAGAAAATGGAATAGAATAGAAATATAGAATAGAATAGAAATATAGAATAGAATAGAAAATGGAATAGAATAGAATAGAAATATAGAACAGAAATTTAGAATATAATATAGAATAGAAATATAGAATAGAATAGAAAATGGAATAGAATACAGAATAGAATAGAACAGAACAGAACAGAAATATAGAATAGAAAACGAATGGAATGGAATGGAATATAATAACTTTATTGTCATTGTGTATCTCACAACAAAATTAAGTGCTGTCCGCAGTGCACACTACCCAGAAGTAAAAACCCCAAATGAAAACATACATTATATACACACATCCTTTACACTCTATTCACCCTTGCGCTGCCCTTGATATTGCACTTCAAAGTCCCACTACTATACGGTAGTATTTAATATGGTTACAGCTCTGGGATAAAATCCATCTTCCAGCCTATTTGTCTGCGTTTTCCTTATCCCGGACCGTCTGCCAGCGGTTGCAGAGGGAGGTGAGTCCCAACCACAAGCACGACCAAGGCAGGGGAGGGTGGGGGTCTTCCCTGGAGCACTCAGGCTCCGGCCTGGCAGTGGGGAAGGGTCTCCCAGGGGCTCCAGGCCGAACCCCCGAGGCCAACCCTGGCCCCGGACCACCCCCAATTGCCTCCGGAAGCAGAATGGG